GCATCGAGAGTCCCACGCCCCAGCACGCCCACACTCGCGCGCACGCGGGAAGCGCCGCGACCACGCGAGTTCCTCATCGCGCGTCCACGCCCGCACGCCCACATCCGCGATGACGCCCCACATACACCCGCACGCCGCACACGTCCGCATACCGCCCGCGCGCGCGAGACCAACCGCGAGTTCGGGAGTGACTCCACCGTGCACATGTGCTGTTTAGCACTCGCGAGCTCGCGAATTTCACAGAGAGCTCGGGAGTGTCTTTTTAATTGTGCGTTTTTCTAGTGTGTGCTTGGAGTGGAGTATAAATATTTTTCTTCCTTTGTATTTTGGGGGGTCCAACTTTTATTTTTTCACTTTTCCATTTTGGGAAATCAGCTTTTATTTTATTTTGCTCTCTAGATTAGGAGTTCATGCTATTTTCCGGGAGATTTTCCGGCGACTTCAGTTTCGTTAAAGTTTCGAGCTTTTGACTCCGTTTTTCATCGTCTACGCAATGGGAGATTGAGTATTTAGTTTTAAAGCTCTTTACTTCGTTTTTGCGCCGGTTTTACTTATAATGTTTATTAGAGTAAATTGGATTTGATTGATGATGGTGGAAATGCTTGAACTTGATTGCTTGCTTGAGTAGATAGAGCCGTTAATTACTTGTTGATCTCGGTTAGACGACTAGGGTTAGCAATCTAATGCTCGTAGCTCGTTTATTCCGTATGTCGATTGATTATCATCCCGTATTGGTTATGGCTTGAGACTCCGGTGATCTAGATTGCGAATTGCTCGTCTTTTCATCTTGTTTTTAATTGATTGCTCGTTTTAAGTGCTCGTCTAGTGATAATCAAACCCCCAATCAATTGCTTAGAATGTTTAGGATTTTATTTTCGATTTTTGTGATTTGGACGATCATATAGTAGACGAAGCTCCGAATAGCCTTCCTTCGAGATCGACCCGAGTCGGGTAACTCGGTTATCCTTTGCCCATCATCTTTATGCTAAACAGGCGCAGGACGTTGGGAGTTGTCAGAGGTAGTTATCACCATCACCCAATACATTGTCGACACGTGTTTCCCCAGCACATGGGGTAAATATTCTCTGGAGATTTCAGTCAGAGGCTCCCACGCGCGCCTATCACACATGCGCCCATAACTAGGTCGATTACGGATTCCTCGAAGCGATCACCCCGCTGGGATCGACTAGCTTGCTCGATCATTAGCCTGGTCGAGCGATGGATTGCTCGATAATGAGTTTGGTCGAGCGATGGATTGCTCGATCATTAGTCTGGTCGAGCGATGGATTGCTCGGTCATTAGTCTGGTCGTTTCCCTGAATGTTCGATCTTCCCGCCTTTTGGGTCGACTCCCTCTTGGTTTGACCTTCTCGACCGGCCCAGAAGACCGGTTTAGCTTTATGTATATAATATCCCATATCATCTAGTCCCCCCCACTCTGGTCGAGTCTGGATGACTCGATCTAAGAGTGAATTGGTATTTATCGACCTCCTCGATGGTACGTCATTCAATATCGACTAGGTAATAGGTTTCCCGCTCACATTTTCAAATAATTTCCCATTAATTGCCAGTAATAAAGTTGCCTGTTTCAAGTCCTTCCTGTTGCTCCTGCTTTTCCGCCACGTGTCACGCCTGTTCGCGTGTGTCAGGTACTTTAATGATGGCGCCCCCTCGCATAACGTGCCCACTTGGAGTACCGTGTAATTTAATTTTTCCACCGCACGATCCCACTTTAATCGGACGGTCCTCCTTTTTCACCCTTTGAACTCTCCAGGGTATAAAATCGGTACTTAGCAGAATTTCAGACTTTTTCCACCTTCATCTCTCCCAAATTCCTTTGCGTTCAAAGTTCTCTCTGCAAAAAATATTAGCTTCCGTCGGCGATTTTTCCTGCAATTTTCAAGTTTTCCCGATTCTCTCCCCCGCGATTATGAGTAAGTTATTTTTCTCCTGATTTTGTACTTCCTGTATCTGGGCTTTTGTGTTTTGAGAAATTTTTTCTCTCTTTTCTCCTTCGAATTGGGTATCTGAAGTTTGCTGATTGAATGTTTTGAATCTGTGCATTGAATTTTTGTGCTTGTCTGTTGATCGTTGCAGATTTCGCTCTTCCCCTTTGAAATTCTCTCGGAATCCCTGTTCATTTTCTTCAAAATAGCCCCTTTCGTGGAACCCTAATTTTTAAAACCTTCTCCTCCTACCTTTCTCCTTTTTGCCAAAATTCCTCTTTTTGATATTGTTCCTCTCTACTTTTGTTTTCAGATCCTGCTACCTCGACCTCCTCTTCTGGTTCAGTTGAGATCTTGCCTTCCGCACTTGAAGTCGTTCCTCTCTCGATTCTTCGCCCCGGTGATACTGTTCTTACCCGTGTTTTCACAGCTCGTGTTGCTTCCTCCAATTCCGGCGACACCATGGATAACATTCCCCTTCGCAGCCGTCGACCTCCTCTTGGTGCGCTAGATGATCCAGAGGAGGACGAGGTTATTTCTTCACAGCCAACTGCTCCTTCCCCTTCAAATTCTCCCCCTAAACAGTCCTCGACCAAAAAACTTTCCAAGCGCTCATCTTCTACTACCCTTTCTCATCCCTGGTTTAACCCTGACAAGATCGGCCAACCTCTTGGTTGGGCGTTCATTAGATCTTCCCCTTCTGATCGGTATGATCATCCTACGCGAGACTGTTACCCTTTCTTCGAGGTCCATTTTAAGCTCGGGTTGCGTTTTCCTTTGAACCGTGACATAATCTGTATCTGCGAGTGGTTCTCGCTTCCCTTGCATCAACTTCCTCCTAATGCCATCCGTTTCATCACCACTTTCATCATCCTTTGTCATATCCGTCTAGGTCGATTCGACCTAGACTTCTTCCATTATTGTTACTGCCCCTCTAAACTGGGTCGGGGTCTCTACTTGAAAAGCCGCAATGGTGCGCACTTCATTAACGACATCCCCTCCAACCTTCCCAAGTGGAGCGATAAGTTCATTTTCGTTCGACCTAACGTCCCTTTACCTTGGCCTTCCGTCCCTTGGGTCAGGGATGTCTCGAAAGATACAGCCTCGGCCCCTCCAGCGAACCCCCTCTTCGACCAACGGATCCATACCTGGAATTCCAAGACCGTTGCGTCTGAAAAACTTCTCTGTGATGACAATCTTCTTCACTTCTGTGGTCTACTTACCCACAAAACCTTCTCTACTCCTACTGAGGATATTCTCGATCTTGTTCGCATTGACAACGATCCAGGTAATTCTCCACACAGTTGCTCG